CGCTTACTCGAGCAAGACCGCACGCGCCCGCGTCCCCCGCCGCACCGCGCGGCCCCGCCTCGCGCCATGCGTCCCCCGCCACCGCGTCGCACGTCTCTAGTTCGCGGGTAAACTTAATACGCTGGCACTGGCACCGACTCCAAAAAACAATAGGTATAACTATTTTAAGATATTTAGATGGTTTAACTTTAATTACTTTGATATAGTTTAGAAAAATTATAGTATTAGGTAATAGGTATTAGGAATTATTTTTTAATTTTTAATTTTTTTTTGTGTTCTCGCATTTGAAGTCGGTTTTATTTTTTTTAAAAAGTTAATTATGTATAATATACTTTAGTTGAAAGACTAGTTATATAGGTGAATTTAAATGTAGTATCAAGTCTATCATTACTGCCAGCTGTGTGGTATTAGGTAATGTAACTCACCCGAAGCAGGTCGGCTCCCGACAGAAGTACGGTCCTTGCTGCAGGTTGCACACGGAACACATCGAGTCCTCTAGGTATGGGTTCACTTGTACCTGGAACAAGACAATACAAAATACATACCAACTACAAAGCACAAAACTCCATACAGGGCGGCTGTTATTTAAAGATTAATTTTTCATTTTTGTATATGGAATATAGTATTGTATAATAGTTTGTATTGGCAAAATACCTTAACCTGCCACGTGTCGGAATGCAGATCTACGCGAAACAATGTTTTCTATTGTCTCATATCGAGAAAACAAGAGGTTATGAGCAGATTTTTCAATCATCACTTAATTCTTAACTGTACAATAAAATTCACATTTGACATTTATTAGTATGGAAGAATTGTCAAATAAAGTTATTGCTCTAAAAAGTAACAGAATATTGAAAAATCGGCTCTAAACCGAGTGTTTTACGTTATAACTGATCACAAAAACTAAGGCGAAACAAGCTTAAATAACAGTCAAGTTCAAAATACGCACGAAATGCAACTGTCTGCAAATAAGGTGAAAGAAATCAAATAATGTACTCAATAAAGTTCAAAATAGCACGACACATTACATACCTTTTTAGTGAACTTGTCAGTATGTATCTGTACGTAGGCGGCGGAGATGGCGCGCACGTACGAGCGCACGTTGTTGAACGTCACGCGACCTGAACCGATCGGGTACTTGTACTTGTCCGTGTCGATTCCTGTAATATAATAATATTAAAATTAAGTAATTATTCCCTGTCGGCTAACAGTACTTGTAGTTTGAGCAAATTAATGGAGTCTTCTCATCGAACTAAGAAGTCCTTAATCGAAAGCGCAATTCCTGTATGCCAGGATCTACAGCACCTATAACCATAAAACACCGAAAGACTGAAGTTCGGCGTTTGTCACAACGAAATAAGTCAAATATTGTTGGAGAAAAAGTATCAACGACCTGACAACTAAGCGAGGCTGTAAGACAAGTCAATGAAGTACACCTTTGTCAAACTACGGATAAATAAAACATACCTGCATATACAACCCCCGAGAACAGATCATTCATGATGGTAGCGAGCGCGGACGCGGAGAGCATCCCGTGCAGCGCGCCCACGAACACCGTGCGCGCCGGCTCCAGCCGGACCGACCCGCCACACACCCAGTTGGAGTCCGTCAGCGCCCACGGGATCACTTGCACCTGGGACGAATAAACAATTATCAACTGATATTACAAAAGTTTTTTTTGTCAAATGGAGTTCGTCAGGTACTGAACAGCATTAGAGATAATATTATCCCACTTAGGAAATTGAAAGTCTTTCAGACATCGGATCAAAGTTTCAACATTCAAATCATTCTTTCAGGTTTTCCAGATTAGTTTTTAGAAACAAATTGGCAAGTAAACGTTGTCAATTTAGGCAACATTTTAAGACACAGATATCACTGACAAAAATTATAACTGAAATACAACCATAAAAACACCGGAACACTGAAGTCCGGCGCGTCTCAGGGACATGAATAACTGTCTTGGTTACCGCAATAAAGTGAATCAGAAGAAAAAATAATATTTAGACCGCAAAAATATAAACGAGTAGTTGTGTTACCTGCTTGCTACGAGTCTTGCGGGAGCCGATGCGATAGTACCAGTCGTTCCCGTCGCGGCGGCTGGCCGCCAGCAGCGCCCGCACGCGGCGCTCGCTCTCGAATATGACGTACGCGAACCCGCGCGGGCACCCGCTGCCCGGGGCCGCGCCCGCCCCGCCCGGCGCCGGGGGACCGTCGCGACCTGGCCACTCCACACTGGAAAAGAGATGCTTAAAATAACTAAAATTGAAATGAAGTAAAAAACAATTTTGTATTGTTGATAGCGATGGGCATTTTTCTATTTACTCAAATTTACCCATTTCGAACATTTTTTTTATGGCATAAGCCGGTAAACGAGCATACTAATCACCTAATGGAAAGCAAACTACGTCGCCCATGGACACCTGGAACACCAGAGGCATTACAAGTGCGTTACCGGCCTTTTGGGGATTAGGAGTTTGAGGATCGTTGGGGATTCAGAGATTAGCGAGATTGGGGAAGGGGAAGGGGAAGGGGGTAATTGGGCCTCCGGATGATTTATCCAGAGGAATGCCCATCTCTCATCATCTCTAATTGTTGGAGACAGCCTCGCTAGACATCACAATTATGTGTAATATTACAGTACACAGAACAGTTAGGAATAAAAATTAGTTCGTCCTTTTCAACTGGGTTTAACTTTGATACTTTATTACATTAATACTTCTGTGTAACAATAACAATCAGGACTTAAATCGCAGTAAGATTAATAGTAAAATAACCACTTACCGTATTGGTTGAAAATGCTTCAACGTCTGCATAAGCGAGGCTTCATTGATATCCCACGGCAGACCCCCAAGGAACACTTTGGAGCTGAACCCCCCAGTGGGGTCCACACACCGCGGGGGTAACTTGCCCCCCCAGCGCAACACCTCGCTCCCATTGCGGCCATTCGATACCACTCCACCTACAAACAAAGTCCTGGATGATATTGCTATTGTCTTCTAGAAAAGTCAACAGCGATAGTAATTGTAGCAGTACACTATCATCAAAGATAGTAATCGTAAAAACGGGATCGATTTAATTCTAATTTGAGCACACGCCGAACTATTTTTTAAAAACAAATACAGAATACAGCTATATATTAACAAAGCTACATTTTAAGCATATGACTAGACACAATCCCTATTAACCCGAGAACCCGGAACGGCGAACGATACTTGATAATAATATTGATCAATCAAATGCTAAAAACTAATTATGTAATACCGTTTAAACAATACCTATATTAAAATACACTACAATATGTGTTCGTAATCGATAGTTAAATAAACAGAAACTTATTTTGAATACAAATTTACTGAATATAATTTATAAATGTTGATGGAAAGCATCGCAGGCGGGGACCAACAGAGGCTTATTTATAGTCATTTCGGTTGTGCACCATTTAGCAGAATTTTCGTTGGTGGCGGTCAAGGTGGTCCCCGCCTGCGATGCTTTCCATCAACATTTATAAATTATATTCAGTAAATTTGTATTCAAAATAAGTTTCTGTTTATTTAACTATCGATTACGAACACATATTGTAGTGTATTTTAATATAGGTATTGTTTAAACGGTATTACATAATTAGTTTTTAGCATTTGATTGATCAATATTATTGTGGGGCTTGTTTTACTCTTTTTTTAGTGTGCAGTCGGGTATTTTGTTTTTTTAATAATAATTTTTTTATTTATAACTTTTTAGCTGTTTTTATTTCGATATATACAAATAGGGATATATCGAATAAAATCGCTATTTAGAGACGACCGTCAACGACGTGTGCCCTCATGCGTGTGCCCGCAATCGGGCTGTATACTCGAGCATATCCCCCTCCGCACCGCGCCGCGCGCCGCATGCCAGGCCACGCCCTATCTTTTTGCTTGCTAACGCATGAGTTGCTTTGCGTTGACGCAGAATTAACATGTTCCCGTGGGAATTTTGAGAAAAAACGTATCCTATATTAATTACTCCCGTGATTGAAATGAATCTAATGATACCGCATACATATTTTTTTAAAGGGAAATTTAGAAAAAATATTATTATGTCTTTATCCCGTGGGACTTTTAGGATAAAATGTATCCTATGACACTCCCGTAATCAAGACAAATCTAACGATACCTCATACATCAAAATCCATCAAGCCGTTTAGGCTACAGGTGGTCACAAAGGAAAAGACATACATACATACTTACATACACTCGAAAAACATTACCCTCCTTCTTTGGCAGTCGGGTAAAAATTCAAATTCCCTTGAATTACCTAAAATTTCTTAAAAGATCTGCAGCAATTTTGTAATGTACAAGTAACAAATATACAGACTAAACTAGATACTTACAAAAAGAAGCTCGCCTGGGCAGCATAGAAGCGCGGTGTTCCCTGGAGTTCTGGTCGTTCCACGACTCGTCTCTATCGAAGCCTTCCATTCTTTCCAACCGCTCTAGTCGATCACAGCCGAGCGGCGCCGGCGGCAGAGACACCGACGCGGTGGGCATCGCCAGGGCCTTCTGAAACATCCACTTACTGTATCTCTGGAGATACACATAACTACAAGCCTGATAGATAAACAACGTATGTCAAACTCGTGTTAAAATTATGCAAATAGGAATAAAAGAAACGATACACAAACGAGGTATTCTCACGCTAAATATAAAAAAAAAATTGTAGGCCAGCAATCTAGACTATTTTCAAGGAATTAAATTAGGTATTAGATTCTCAGTCAAAATTAAAGTCTTAAATACCTGAACATCGAAAAGAGACCATTTAACTTAAAACTGCAAGCAACTACCATAATTAAAATGCAAACGAAAAAAGTACTTACTAAGGCTGCCACAAGATCGGTAATGCCTTGTTCCGAAGTGCACTCCTCGGACCAGAGGCTGCCGGGCTGCGCGCTTTCACTGAAACAAGCGTACTTAGTGCTAATTACTTCATTAAAGTACACTAGGCTACTTAGAACGTTCACCCACGCGACGCATTAAGGTACGCAAGTTTTTAATTAGTATTAATGGACGCCGCCACTACACTGGTACCAAAGAAAAATTGTGCTTTTAACGTGAATCTGGGTAATGTTTTTAGTGAAATGAAGTTTATCATTTTTTATGTCAGTTGCCACTAAGTTATACTTCTAACTTATTTGAAACTAAACTTTTATACTAGGTATTCAACTTGATCAGTTTGTTAAACCGACTAAATATTTAAAACAAGGACGATTTTAGAAATACTAATTTTATATAGAACATTTATATACAAAATTAGATACAAATTTTGGTTTTTGTACCTGTAACTAGTGAAGGCCGTGGGATGTCTGGGCGGGAAGCAGGCGGGCGGTACGAGCGCTCGCGGCGTCTGCGCAGCCTCCGGGCTGCTAGGCTCCTCCTCCCAGCGCCAACCGTTGTCACCACCACACTCCTGCGCAAATTCACTCACTTAACACGATCCAGTACTAATACTTTATACGTCGGTATCCCATAGGATAAAATTTTGACCCCTTTTGTATATGAGGTTCAATGTCAAAATTCAATATTTTGTTCATTAATGTACCATCCGGCGACAATTGTTAAGTTACATTAGGTACTATTATTATGCGTTTATAACTTTGACTAAAAGAGAAGACGCTGAAAGGACTGACAAAATTTACTTAACCCTACTTTACTTCATTAATGACGAGACAAACGAATCTATTTGTTCGACCTCAATTCACCACTCTAGAGGCACTTCAGAGCACTGAACTTAGGCACAAATAAAACAAAGGTTTATTCAAAGCTTTTCCAAAAACTACAGATACAAACGTCCCAGTTATGATATAAATTATTAAATACAATTCCCGAAACACCCAATGCCGCGTAGCCGTATAATATACGAGGACCGCAGCATCGGATATCCCATAAAATAAGATTTGTTTCCCGATATGTTCTCAACAAGTTTCCATGTTTTACTACCAACTTATTCAATAGACCAACTAAAAGCTTTGCTTTACCCGCAACTGAAGATGTTACGGGAAAATTTTAACTTTGATTTTACTAAAGGTATCGACAAAGGATCTAAATTGAATCGTTCGGTTATTGCAAGCGATAGGTAATCAAAGTTCAGAGGAATATTAGATAAAATGCTCTATCTTGGAAGCAGTCGAACGCAGCAAGTGGGCAAAGCTAATAATCATGAAAAACCGGGTATCTGTATCCAAGATAGTTTTCCGGGTCGCGAGCGCGAGCCGATTAAACGCGAGGGCCTTGGCATGAGCCTACACAAATAATATTATATTGCCAGATGCATGCCAATAGCCGGCGATACCCGGCAGACGCCTGCCAAGTGCGCGATTGCTAACTTGCTCCACAATATTGGAGGGTATGTTATGACGCGCGCCTCTTGCCAGGGAACAGTGTCACGAGACGATTACTTTAAACCTCGTCTAAGAATTAAAACAGGGGAGTACTGAATCGTTTGTTTTCGTTTACCCGCGGCTAAATGAAATCTTAAATTGAACCGATTTCAAAAGTATTTGTAATGTGTTAACTTTATGATCAAAGTTCGTGCAAATAGGAAAAAGTTACGTTTTGACGAATTATAACTGAAATACACAGAAAAGTACCTAACTTTTAGTCGTTCTTTGTCAAAATACATATCCCTTCTAATCACGATAATGCATTTGACCAGAATCGATGAAATATCTCACTGGAAAATATTCTACACTTGAGTCTGTTGTCACACGGGCGCGGACCCGAATAGTACATTACTAAATGGAGAAGATTCAGCATCTATTCACGTCGCAACCAATAAATAACGGGAAGTGAAAATAGTTTTAAACTTCTCAAAATTTCGCTTCAAGTGGGTAATGAAATATTCATGGCGAAATCGATAGTCCTCACGAAAGAGGAGGACCTAAATATTGATATGCCCCCGCAAATAGATGAAGCTAGCAAATAGTTTAAATGCGAATCTGGGATAGCGTAAAGTCAAACATGACTAGACAAATGGGGTTGCAAATCAAGTCCCAAATTGTGTATAGTTCATAGAAGCGATTAAGCGAGCCATAAAATGTACGCATCTCATATAGACGGGGTGAGATAGGGAATACTCGGATGCCGGCTAATGCAAGTGCAGTAACCCAAGCGATCCGGGCCGCATTATTTGGCACGGCCGGCCCATTAATACGGGCCACTGTTGGCACCAATCTCGGCTAACATTAACTGGCATCAAACCGGATGTCGTACGGTACATTATGAACAGACAATAAAACCTACGGAGTGCTCTGTACTTAAAATTTGATTTAAGCTCTTGGCGCTGCATGAATATAATAACAATGTGATGCATGTTGCGATACTTGCATACAATCGTCTTGGCGCCCAACAAGGGGCCGCTACTCTTGTTCCATTCTTAAAAATTGGCAGTTAAACGCGATTTTAAGATGTTAAGCATATAAAAACTAGTTTGGAATTACGTTTAAGTGGGTAGAAGTTAATTCTGAACGTTGTCCTTGAATATGGAATGAGTCATTCAAATGAGGGTAGTTTCAATGTATGCATCAAAACGATTTATTTTCTACAAAATTAATATAAAAAAAACTTATGAAATCGGGTATCGGGTAGAAGATCAAAAAAGAAAAATTGATACAAAACCTACAAGAAACAAATTTAAGCATAAGCTGTATGTAGCTACTCATACTCACATAGTCGAAAAACCGATGTCGGAACTGTCTGAACTGACGAGCGCAGCATGTAACACAAGTGAGGGTAGATGAAGTTATACAATAAAGAAACTTCCCGCGCAAACTAGAACGATTAACGAATCGTTCATCGTTGCTTGGAACTACTAAAAACTCATTTTTAGTGTGGGTACTTTCATTTTTTTATGAAAATTTTCTTTCAATTCAAAATATAACGACATGGTAGAAAAACAAATTTCGAGTCTGCTCTTTAAACAAAGAACAAGTTTCAAGACGCCCTTACGTACAAGCAATAATAAAGAGCTATAAAAGAATATAAAGAAGCACTCACACTGTTGCGATGTACGACTGGCGTTGACACAGGCTCCGGTAGCTGCGTGGTGTCGAGACCCAGGAAGTCAGCCAGGGTACGGTGCTCCTCAGAGCCGCCGCCACCCCGGCTAGTGTCCTACAGAAAACGAAGTTGTGTAAAATATGAAGGTAGGCGGTGCACATAACACCTTTAACACCAGTTTATTTTAAGGGTACCATGTAAAGGGTATTACTGGCCTATAGCCATAACCCAAGCATAACCTCAGATTCGAAATCTGATAAAATATTCAAAAATCAAAATTTTAACTAAAAGCTCAAAAAATCAGATCTCCAGGCATTTTGGCGGTAGCAACAATAATAGTCACCATTTGTTTACGGGGTTACCCCGTAAATAGAAACAAATACCACATGAAATTTCAATATAGGACCAGCTCTTCAAAATCGTCAACCGTCTAGTAGGACCAATAAAAAAAATGTAAATGAGGGTAGTTGGCACATCAAAGCAACATAGCCGGAATTTAAATTATATTAGATTTTATTTTACAGACAAGGGTAGAACTAATGTAATGGGCAATAATCTGAACTTAATTGGCAGCCACTAGATTAATGTATATGGCATAGAAAGTTCAGGATCCAGAACTTAACTGGGTGACCCAGGCTAAATAAAATACGAAACCAATCAGGCCGGGTCAAATATTTTTAGAAACGTTCAATAATTTCTGCAAAAGGGCACAAAGAAACAAATAGGCATTGAAAAACTAGTAACAAAATAAAAAACTCACCTGGTGTATAAGCGGCATATGTGCCGCTAAAAAAGTTTCAAAGTTCCGATGTAGTCTAGGGCGCGTCGAACAGAGTTCCAGGCCAGGATGTTTGCGCGACGACGGCGCACAGACGACTGAATCAGAGACAGCGCGCCTCGAAGCAGGAAGCCGCACCCACCCCACCTCTGCCCCTACCACCCACTCTCTGACATCACAAGCCACGCCCACAATACTTTACTCTTTTTCAAATTCGATGCTAAAAATGTTAATTTAATTTCAAATTATACAACAAAATATATCTCTAATTTTACTCTAAGCGAAAATATTGAATTATTTTCCATATTGAAGATACTATTATTTGTATTTATAACGGATTTGCGCGCGCAAGATGGCCGCGGTAAGCACGTGGTTTGCTACGTCATGCGCATGTGTGGTGAAGTCAAAAGTAATACAATTAATTATTTATGAAAGTCTATTTTTAAAACATTAATGTAAGATTAATGTCACTGGGTTAATTAGGTATTGTTTTACTAAGCGCATTTATTTATATTTGTATTCTTCAAGTAGGAAACAGCAAAACAAAATGTATGTCTCAATATCCAAATAAAAAGTTGTAAACGCACTTTTTAGTAAGACGTTTATCGTTTTCTTATTCTTATTTTTTTTTTGTTACTAAAAATGTAAAAGGAATTAAGCTAATTATATTCATAGAAATCGGTTTAGTGCTAAACATTAATTAATTAAAGAAGACTTACCGTAAAATGGGATGAATAGAACATTTTCTCAATATTTATTCACCCCTCTTCTGTATATATTCACCGCTCGAATTCTATTCACCCCGGTTTACCGTTATATGAGTAAAACTACAATAAAACACAATTTCCAAGATAAAAATATTTATTTGTAATCTGTATTAAGGCAAAATAATTCTTTATACCTGTTATTTAACATATTATTTTAAATGCAGAAATCATTTTATTTACTAAAATAATAATAATAATAATAATTAAAGACTATTTTATTACAATAGCCACGTCATAAATTCACATTACTAGCTTATAACCCGCGGTTTCTATTACAAAATGGAAGCGGGATAAAAATTTAATAATAATATTTCGAAATTACATTACATTTTCAGTCATTATTTTATCTCATACTTTATAGCCCACCATTTAAGTCGTTAGATGGCGTTGTTATACATTTCTTTATTAAATATACAATCTTCAAGATTAATAATATTTTTATACGTTTGGCGCATTAAATAACGACACACATAAGATTATACGAAGCTTGGGAAACAGAAGGGAACAGATATTTCATTTATTTCATTATAGAACTATGGTACTTTAAATATATTCTAGACACGTTTATAGACATTGAACTAAAATAAGATTCTATGTCTTCTGTTTCATAACTAGTTTCTGCTTAATTATAAAATGTTTTATTAAACACATTGATATTGGCACTTTTTCCTACACATTGATAGATTTGTTTTGTGTAAGATAGACCATATCGAGATTGTTTTAAGGTTCATTTTATCACTAGAACCGAGCAAAGTGACAATTCTTAGTTCATTTTTACTGTTCTACTGGTTCTGACTTTCATATTCACTATTACCTGTCGCTTTATAGTCTGTTGTGATTGTTGATAAATTAAACATCACAATTTTAATGTTTTTTTACCAATTACTCAATAATTATTTTTCGATATTAACAAGACATAGCTACGAATAATATAGACATATTCGGTCTGCTCTTTCAGTAGAGCTCTTAGATTTGAGTCAAGGCTATTGGTGATTCCTTAGACTTATTTGACACATAGCTATATTATCATAAAACCAACCTATTGCTATTATTAAATTTAATTTTTTAGAGACTTCTAGTGTTTTTATATAAATCTTAAAGAGTTATCAATTGTACACAACATCAATTTTCATTTTCATGCTATAACAACATATTATATTAAATGGTATTTCTATTAATTTAGCTTTTTCTCTACCAACACTGATAGAAACGTCATAAACGAACTTGCATAACATAAATGCCACTATGAACTCTATGTAAAAGTCAGTAAGGTCCAAAATTGTGTTACAAGCCTTGTTTGGTGTCGTTCAGTTGGTTTGCTTGCTTCATTCGTTGCGCTCTTCGTTTGGCTGTTTTTGAGAGTTTTTTCGGGGTCTTTTGGGCCCAGGAGATTCGTTAGTCCTGTAGGCCAAATAGTGGGGCTATAATGGTGCCCGGCTGCAGTGGGGTTCCAGGCCTAGGCCGTGGAAGACAGCCCCTCTCGTCTGAATACATGTATGGAAGGCGCAGCACCCAGTATGCTGAGGCTGATAACTTGATGGGTGGTGAGCCCACGGGTTGCGGGACGAAGATCGGTCCTCCTGGTATTGGTTGAACCTGGAATTTGAAGTGGTTTATGTTTATTATTTTGTTTTAAAAAATACAATTACAATTATTTAATAATTCCTTTGACCATCACACACACATGCATAGTCATTTATGCCATAAGTTCGTACCCGTGACAGGTAAGGTTGACCTATTTCGAACAACAATATAAGTACGTTACTTAGGACTTTATTATAATACTAGCAAGGTACAAACGTCTTCAATGTGGAGCAGGTGCGCAACGAATACGTTACGGGCGCACAACGACGTGCCAGGGTTGCGCACCAAATTCGTTGCGGACGCATAGTAAATACATTGTCTTGTCGTAGTATATCTTGTTGCACATTTACAATGCTTGCACATTGAGATATACGTAATCAATTTATATTAAAAATGGTGTTATCGTAAATGATATTATTGTATGACACGGGCAATATTGTATGTTAAAGAGTACCAGGTTAGTAGGTACAGTTGCCTAATGACGAAGAGTTAGTATTGTACATGACAGATGCGTGTGAATAGACAGCGTAGAGTACCTTGGGGTCGAGAGTGACGTGTACGGGCGCCTTAGGCGTGACGACGTGTAGGCGCGTGAGTTGCGCCAGCGAGGCGGCGGCGGGCGCGGGCGCGGGCGCGGCGCGGCACACGCAGGCCGCGTGCAGCGGCATGTCGGCCGCCGCCAGCC